AGACATCAGTGAAGCAGACGAGCAGCTGGAGCCTGTTCCCAGTGTGCGCATGCGCAGAGTTGCCAGACGAAGGGAACAGCTAAAGAAAAGGGGTCAACTTGGGAGTAAGGCCACAGGTAGACAATGAATGCCTTCCCCCAGAGGAAATAAAAGGAGCGAAAGGGGAGTGGAGTTTGCAGGAGACAATTAGTTAGCTTAATTGGTTCGTGACTCTCCGAGACTCCTTGCCACGTTTTGCAGATATTGGCCTAGCAGCTCTCCAAGCCAGATAAGGTCTGTGACTGTAAATCCTCCCTGGAAAGACTTTGCTGGATGTGAATGAGCAGAATTCACAGTAAATTAATGAAATGAGTTTTTGTCAGGACAAGGAGTTTGCTTCATGTTCTTGGGAAGCCTGGGTCAGAACACAATCAGGCTGCAGCCCCAGCTCCAGCTGGCTCTTGTCCATGCCCCTCCAACACCTGATAGAATGTCCTTGGCTCCCATGGGAAAGAACGTTATTTTGGCTACTCATCCCCCCCAGCTATCTCTCTCTCCCCTCTCAACATTCCCACAACTCCAACCAGCCCCACTGTGGCAGCCCTGAAGATGCTCCCCAAATGGCTTCAGGGCTGACAACACCCTCACAGAGTACTGATAGTCCTCCACTTATGACTACAATTGGGACCGGAATTTCCATTGCTAAGCAAGGTGGTTGTTAAATGAATCACATCCAATTCTATGACCTCCCCCGCCCCCCGGTCATTAAGCCAATTATTGCAGCTGTTAAGTGAATCAAGGTCTTTAAGCAAATTTGGCTTTCCGCATTGACTTTGCCAGTTACTAGGCAAGCCGGGCTATTTATTACTAAAAAATCATGTGACCTGGGCTGCTGCAACCAACGTCAATAGCAATAGCACTAGGACTTAGACTTATATACCACTTCACAGTGCTGTACAGCCCTCTCTAAGCGGTTTACAGAGTCAGCATATTGCCCACCCAACAATTTGGGGCCTCATTTTACTGACCTCGGAAGGATAGAAGGCTGAGCCCTCCTTGAGCCTGGTGAGATTTAAACTGCCAAATTGCTGGCAGCCAGCAATCAGCAGACGTAGCCTGCAGTACTGCACTCTAACCACTGCGCCACCGCAGCTCCACCCACTGCTCCAATACCTGTCTGTTGCCAAGCACCTGAGTTTCAATCACAGGAATCCTATGATGATAGTAAGTGTGAGGACCAGTCATAAGTCAGTTTTTCTCCTGTGCCATTGTAACTTCAGAAAGTGGCTAAATAAATGGTTGTAAATCAAGGGCTACCTGTATAGAGATAGCCTTGTTTTCCTTCTCTGTATCACTTGACCTGAACAAGCCGTTCTCTTCTCCTCTCAGGTGATGTTTACAGAGGAAGATGTGAAGTTCTACCTTGCAGAACTGGCCCTAGGACTCGGCCACTTGCACCGTTTGGGAATTGTGTACAGGGACCTCAAGCCAGAGAAGTATGCACAGGCCAGAAGCTCATTGACTGGCTTCCTCCAGGTTATCTTACTGGGTGGTGAATACTGTAGATGGGCCTACTCAGTGGATGCTCAAGGGACCACTGACTCAGCCAAGCAACATAGTTTTACTGACAGAAGAAAATATTTGTAGCTCAGGCTTGAACTGTGGAGATTTGCTGCTCTTTGAGCTTGTTGGTTATCTTGCAGACGTTTCATTACCAAACTAGGCAACTTCATCAGTGCTTGAAGGAATGGAAGAGAACAACATAGTTTTTTTGGGGGGGAGGGTGTCGGCTTACAATAACAGTGTTAGTGGAATGTAATGCCTTACCCAACAATTGAACAACCTTAAATCTTACCCAGTAGCCCATTTATGGCACTCAAGGACCCAGAGATTAAAACCCTTGTAATTTGGTCCCTAAATGCCCAATTTTGTCAATGCATTTAGTTTCCCTTTTTGAAGAAAGGTGGAAACAGGAGAAGATAGGCCTACGAGAGCTGAGTCCAGAGGTGGTATTCAGCCAGTTCTGACAGGTTCTGGAGAATCAGTACCAGAAATTTTGAGAACCAGCAAATAGGCTGGCCCTGCCCCCTACTTCCCCCAAGCTGATTTGAACAGGAGAACAGAGCTGGAAAGAGGTTAATGGGACAGGGTGGGAATCTCCATTCCTTCCACACTCCAGGGGAAGGCTATGCAAAATACCATTCATTCCCCACTGTAGGGGAAGGATACTGCAAAATCTCCATTCCCTACCCACTCCAGGGGACAGATACTGCAAAATACCCATTCCTTCCCTACTCCACTCCAGGGGTGCTTTCCAGCTCCGTTCTCCTGTGCAGGGCAACAAAAGAAGACCCAACTGATCAGCTGAGACTCCGATCAGCTGGAACTCGGGAGGCAGCAAATAGATCAGGGGAGAGTCAGTCAGAGGTGGTATTTGCTGGTTCTTCGAACTACGCAAAATTTCCGCTACCCAGAACCGGCTGAATACCACCTCTCCTCATGAAGGTTTTCAAAGCTTAAACTCAGACTAGGGATGTTGCTTATCCCAAATCTTGGGTCTTCTAGGAATGTGGCTGCATTCTGCTTTGGAATGTTTAGTTGATATTTGGTGGTTTAGTTGTGTTTACTTCCTGGTTTTATTTCAGCTATTCTAGCTTATTTGTTGTGTACTATTGTGTTTTTTTTTCTCTTCACAGTATTCTCCTAGATGACGAAGGACATATCAAACTTACAGGTATAGCCTCTCTTGTTTCTGGTTGATGTTTCTTGTACGTGATTTTTTTTTAAAAAAACCCAACCTATCTTTCCACCTTTCCCTTATTTTCTGGTGCTCCTCATTCCCCAACATCAATTTACCTTTCCCCCTCCCCCAACCCTCGTGTCCTCAAGACTGGACTACTGCAATGCGCTCTACATGGGGCATCCCTTGAAGAGTATTCGGAGACTTCAACTCGTCCA